GCAGACGTGAACAATATATTTTACTGTGCATAAATTCTCAGTTATATATTTTATTCCATTGTCCGTACGGAGAATAAAATATGCTTTTAAAAATTATTTTTTAAAGACAACACTTCTAAAGAATCCAGTGTCTTTGATGTTAGGCATGTACAATGAATTTATTATCAGTTATATATTTTATTCCATTGTCCGTACGGAGAATAAAATATGCGTTTAAAAATTATTTTTTAAAGACAACACTTCTAAAGAATCCAGTGTCTTTGATGTTAGGCATGTACAATGAATTTATTATTTTATTTTCAAATATTAAAATTTGAAATATTTGAAAATAAAAATTAAATTTTCAAATATTAAAAAAAGGTAGTTTTTAAAATTTTCTTAATATATAAAAAATTTGTAAATTTTCAAAATTATTTATTCTACCGACTGATTCATACATTGTCTTTGACTTTATGCAAGTGTGTAACATTTAAGATCGATTGGACAGGTAGAAGTGTGTTAAATATGGATTATAAGATTTGTAGCAGACAAAATTATTTTTAAATTTTTTAATACTGAATTTTTTTAATTTCAAAATGATTTATTCCATCAATCGATTCATGCATTGTCTCCAACTTTACGCAAGTGTGCAAAATTTCAGATCGATTGGAGAGGTAGAAGTGTGTTAAATATCGATTATAAGATTTGTAGCCGGCAAACAAACAACAAGAAGTGAGGTTAAAGAGAAGTATTGTAAAGAAATGAAGTTAAAGAGAAGTATTGTAAAGATGTGAAGTTAAAGAGAAGTATTGTAAAGAAGTGAAGTTAAAGAGAAGTGTTGTAAAAAGAGATCTCATCGAGAATGGGAAGACTGACGTCGTAACACTGGAAATTTCATATATTTTATGAATTTAACTGAAAAATTTGCTCGGTTCTTGGAACACATGGGAGAGGCGAAGATTTTTTTTAATGTTTTGTAATGCCAATACTATCAAGTAATGTAATGCCAATACTACTATTGAACTCTTCATAGGTTATTGTAAGGTCGTCATCATAGGTATCATTATTGTAAAAAGATATGGTGTGGCACGCAACCTATAATGTCGCTTCTCATGAATGCCAGGAGCTGTAAAGACCGTGATTCCAAAGTTAATAGTTCACTAAACAATACTTATTTTCAGGCAAAGCCTATATTTAGCATACACATGCCAATTTATTAGGTTAAAACAAGAAAATGTTTATATGAACGCCTCACGCTCACGTCTTTAATTATCCAAAAATTTCGATCAATGCTTACTTTGTAGTAAAATCGGGTCATTAAAAAATATATATATCTGTCATATACATGGATAAACTTTAGAAATTTGTGTTGTTTTAATAGAATAGAATAGTATATAATATAATATCTGTCTCTTATACACATCTAGATGTGTATAAGAGACAGAACTAATACATACAACACAAGTTCGTTAAATAGCGAAAGAAAGCAATCGAAGCTGTTAAAGAAAACAACCGGCATTTTTAAGAGCATTTGTTCGAACGAAGCAGTCAGTCCTAGGAAAGAAGATGCCGGTCTTTAAAGTGAAATGAACAGCTCTTTTA